TTGTCTAAAAATACAACTAAGGTCTTCCGCTTCTTGTTCTGAGATAGACCCCTCTTACAGCTACCTATCAATCAACAAGCTGTGCTGTTTTGAGTTCCTCCAACCAGTAATATTTCCACTCCAGTTTCAACTGATATCTTGACTAACAACTTATTCTCACTAGACTGTGCAAAATCTATTTTTAAGAGCGGTCAACCATGTTTATGTGAATTCCCACACAACCTACACATGCATAAATGAAACAACTTTGTTCAAAGACAATTTCACGTTTTATGATTGATATCTAATCTTCCATATTCAACTAATGTTATTTCCCTCCTTTTTCTTTTTTATGTAGTTTTCAATTCAGTTTATTTTTATAGCACCAATTCACAACACATGTAATCTAACGGCATTTACAGAGAAAATTCAACCAGATAATACAATAAGATTGGTTCAAAGTTTTCTGTCTAAGGAAAACCAGCTCATTTCATCGACTCATTGACTCAATCCCTCAGACCAACCATGCTTGTAGCAACAACTGAGAGGAAAACTCCCTTTTAACAGGAAGAAACCTCCAGCAGATCCAGGCTCAGTGTGAGCAGCTATCTGCCGAGGCCGACTGGGGTTCAAGGAGATAGAAGCAAACATACAGAAAGAAGCATGGATACAAAAGGTTACTGTCAACCAGCTCCACATGCGCCTCCGTCCAGGAAAAACACAGCCAGGCAGATGAGCTCCAAGCCAGTTCCCTGGTCAGAGGATAAAAGAGTGCACATACAGTCAGTCAAACTCAGAGAAGCAGGACTACACTGAAAAACAGGCCAAGCTCCAAGATCTATAAACAAAGGTGTTGATGGCAGCAGCACAGATGATATTTTTCTCCCCGGAATGGTGTCACAGCCAAACTGTGACAAATACAAAATAAGAAATACTGCACAATGGGAGAACAGAGATAGAAAAAAGCAGAATGTTGAAAGTGGTCGCTATGTGCTCCAGCATTCTAAGCCTATAGCAGCATAACGATAGCGATAACTCAGGAAAGCCTGAACCACTTTAACAACAATCTTTTACTTTTTGTAAAGTAAGTGTTCTTGCTATCTCATAAGAACGTACTGTCATGTAAGACACTGAGCGATAGTTAAGAACGTGTTTTACTTTAAGTAAGACATGGAACACTGGAGAGCTGCATGTAGGCAAACTTTTGTGATGAGTTTGACATTAATATTTGCATGCAGACTACCATTGTGTCATACATTTTGCATGAAAAGCCTTAAGCCTTGGTGAGTACTTGGCAATCCCACAATCTGTCTTCATTATAGTAGATCTTTCCTTTACAGGTCTGCAGGGAGGAAGCATAATGGAAAGGATCTTGCTGAGAGCAATGCTTCTATCAAGTCAGTGAGTTTTTGAGGTTGTTTATAATTTGCATTTAAATAATGGATTGTGAATCGGCCCCAACAAAACATTTGCTTTTTTTATCTTTTAGATTGCTTCAGCCTCTTCTCCAGTTTCACTCGCCATTACCACTTCTTCAGTGTACCTTTGACTTGGAATGAAGCTCAGACGTTCTGCAGACAGAAATACACAGACCTGGCCACCATAGAAAACTCTGAAGAACATAACTTGCTTTATAAAACGCTTCAATCTGCTGGTTACACCTCTGACGTCTGGATTGGTTTGTACAGTGAAATCCAACACATTGTATCTACCTTACCAATAATATATTGATTTCTGTTTATGCTATAATAAAGTCCTAAACCCTCAAAGCCAATACTGGGCAGGCCTTATCTCTGCATTCAACACCAAGATATTAGCTGTAGATTTTCCTGTAAGCTGTGAGCAGCAGCCTTAAGCCAAGGTAGGTGTCAAGTAAATCAAACAGATGCTTGCTTGATTGAATTACATTTTGTGGAGTTTTGAGATAACGTTAGAGACATTTTGTAAGTTTTAACTGAAAAATATCTTTACAATAGCCTTTTTATTTGACCTTCTACGACTAAAACATTGTTTGATGAGCAGACTGACACCTCAGTCGTTCAGCGATGAGGAATCTTTGAGCCTAATTTCCTTCGAGGTACTTTAGTTCGGACGTCGCCGCGCTTTTTCTGCAGATGTGACTTCAGGCATGTTCATACTAAATAGTTCCAACCTAGAAAACAATCGAAGCGATATATTGAAAATGAATTTTCTGGATATTCAGATGCGACCTGCATCCAGTTCAGTTCACACATTAAAGGGAACTTGTTAAATATGAGCCTATGCTATTTTCAATCAATTTTAATCAGTGTAATCATACCGCTCAATTGTTTCATGCATCTGGCATATACCTAAGATGGTACATATTCCCATCTAGAATATATTTTTTTTGTTTGGTTGATGATTTATTTGTTTATTTTGCTGTTTTAGGAAGAATTTGCTCTTTTTATTATTTGTTCTGACAATATTAAGTAAAAATATACATATTTTTTGTAGTATGTAATTCAAACTGTAAGAGTTCAACAAAATAAAAATCATGATCATCACAATAAATATTGCTTTCATCAAATTCTATATCAATTTTGAAACATTCTTTCAGTCAGTAATATCAGTCTGGGTGTTGTGTTTGAGACTAACAGCTTTGTGTGACTTTCAATGTTAGGAGATTTGCCAAGAAAAAGAAAGCAGCCCACTCCTTGAAAACAAGCCCAAAACAAACTCAACAGGTACTCCTCCATATTGTCTATCTGAAGTCCAGAGATTTACTCTTGGAGGAGAAATGTGCCACTTTTAAACAAAAAAGTATACATTTATATTGGCATTAACCATAAGCAACAGCAATGTTTTTTTTTACCATGAACTTTTAAAATCATTTAAATCATTTTAATACCTTTTACTTTTAAAACCTGATCAAAAGGAAAGTGCATTTTTGGGAAACTGACCATAAACACAATTTGCCAAGAAAAACAAAAACAAACAACAAAGTTTAGAGTTCGCCCCTTTTAAAAGAAAAATTACAGTTGGTGTAAAGCTACCATCTTTCTTTGTTTTTGGACTTAACTAGGTTCATTGTGAGAACATTCATTCTACATCAGGTTTTCAATGGACTTTCGAGCAAAGACAGAGCAAATAGGGCAAGTTCTCTGAAAGCCTGCCCTCAACTAACCTGGCATTAGCCAGATTGATGAGTTGAGTTCTTCGTTATCTATCTGGGATGGCTGCCGTTCAGTCTGTCTGTGAAAATAAGGGACGTTTAGTACAATACTTCGAGCTCATTGGGTGACATGTCAGCTAGTACTCGCCTTCCATCATATAATTTCAGCCAATCATAGCAGCCAAATTTAGCAGCGAATCGTCTGCAGCAAATCATCTGCATCCTCTTCAATGTTTTCACAATTAGCGGAGTAGGCTAGATTGATGAGTTGCACAAAGTGGAACTTTACATTATCTGTTAGAGTCACATGGATGTTTAACTATCCAAGACAAAATAAGGAGTTGAAATGTGGGGAGGAGTACTTTCAAACCACAATTCAACCTTTTCCCAAAGCTGATGATTCCTCTGATCTTCTTCACTACCTGGAGAGGTATGAGGAATATTTTGTTCCTTGACCCACTCACTTAAAAGGAGCACATGGCCGTTCTTTATAATGAGCTTCAGGGGAATAATGGGATATGCCATGTCCTAAAATCCAAACCAGGAGAAATAATAATAATTACTACGTGTGTGTTGTATTCTTGTGAGAAGACTATGAGAATTAGCTGGCTGAGAAAGTGTGCAACAAAATCCAAAAAGGGACTTTGCCTCCATGTATCAATCACTGTACAAATGTTGGAAACTTATGATAAATGAAGGAGATCTTGTTATACTACAACTAAGTTCTTCAGCTTCTTGTTGAGAGATAGATCCCTCTTTACCATGGAAAGGGAAAATACTAATCAATCACCAAGCTGTACTGTTTTAGAGTTCCTTCAAAAAGTAATATTTCCACTTCAGTTTCGACTGACATCTTGACTAACAACTTATTCTCACTAGACTGTGCAAAAGCTATTTTTAAGAGAGGTCATACATGTTTACGTAAACTCTCACACAACTTGCAATTGCATAAAGAAAACCAAACCTTTGCACAAAGACGTTTTCATGTTTTCTGATTGATATCAAATCTAATGTTATTTCCCTCCTTTTTCTTTTTTATTTAGTTGTTAATTCAATTCAGTTTATTTATATAGCACCAAATCACAACATGTGTAATCTCAATGCATTGACAGAGACAATTCTACCAGATATTCAATAAGATTGGTTCAAAGTGTTCTGTCTAAGGAAAACCAGTTGATTTCATCGACTCCCTTTTAACAGGAAGAAACCTCCAGCAGAACCAGGCTCAGTGTGAGCGGCCATCTGCAGAGGCCGGCTGGGGTTAAAGGAGATAGAATAAAGCAGAATGATGAAAGAGTTCCCTATGTGCTCCAGCAGTCTAAGCCCATAAACAGCATAACTATAGAGATAACTCAAGAAAAGCCTGAACCACTCTGACTATAATCTTTTGGATTTCAAGTACAGTAACTGTTCTTTCTATCTCATAAGAATGTACGTAAGTGAGACATGGAAACACTGCAGAGCTGCATGTAGGCAAGTCTTTTTTTTTATCAGTTTGACTGTAATATTTGCATGCAGCCTGCCATTTTGTCACACATTTTGCATAAAAAGCCTAAAGCACTAGTGAGTTTCAACAGACTACTCAGCAATCCCACTATCTGTGTTCATTACTGTAGATCTTTCCTTTACAGGTCTGAAGCGAAGAATGATAATGGAAAGGATCTTGCTGAGAGCAATGCTTCTATCAAGTCAGTGAGTTTTGTTGTTTATAATTTGCATTAAAATAACGGACTGTGAATCAACCCCAACAAAACATTTACAAATGTTTTTTTTTATTATTTTAGATTGCTTCAGCCTCTTCTCCAGTTTCACTCGCCATTACCACTTCTTCAGTGAACCTTTGACTTGGAATGAAGCTCAGACTTTCTGCAGACAGAAATACACAGACCTGGCCACCATAGAAAACTCTGAAGAACATAACTTGCTTTATAAAACGCTTCAATCTGCTGGTTACAGCTCTGACGTCTGGATTGGTTTGTACAGTGAAATCGACTGGAAGTGGTCGGATGGGTATACTGGAGCTGGTGCTGATTACAGGCACTGGAGAAGTGCATACAATGAACCAGAATTTTATCAGGCAAGTCAATTGTGTGTAAGTTCTTGGAAAGATGGAAATTGGTATGATGATGACTGTGCACTAAAGCGCCAATTTATCTGTAACACCGGTAAGTGGAATTATACAATTTTATTATTCAGTATAGTATACAATAATATGATATTTAAAAAGAGAAAACTCTTTAACGCATCCCTCTTTTGTACAGGGACACCAGAGGAACCTCAATTCACTCATCAAAACGAAAACATGAACTGGTCTAGTGCTCAAAGGTTCTGCCGGGAAAACTTTATTGACCTTGCAACTGTAAGGACTAATGCAGAAAATAATATGTTAGCGACAGCAATACCTTCTGACTATGCATGGATCGGTCTGTTTAGAGACCCAAACTTTTTTTGGTCCGATCAAAGCAGCTTCCTGTTTAGTGCCTGGGACTCTGTCAATAATCCAATCGGCTCAAAGACAGTGATATGTGGTGCTACATCTTCTGGGAGATCTGGAAAATGGAAATTTTTATCATGTGAACAAAGATTGCCGTTTGTCTGCTACAGTCCCCATGGTGATTATTTTACTCCATGTAAAAACCAAAGAAAAAATAAAACAACAGTATAAATAACTATTATACTTAATAGTTATTTGATTAAACTTATTTTTTTAATTTGCAGAATCAGTTTAAATCTAATAAAACATCTCTTCTTCTTGATTAACCAGTTTTCAAAAAGGTAGTTAAGCTGAGACTGAAGGCAGAGGACTCCGTGAATCTGAATGACCCTGTTCTGAAAGAGAAAATCCTGAAAAAGGTAAGTCAGATATGGCACCATGTACAGTTGTGTTAGAAAGTGTACATAACCTCCCATTAAAGACTATTACAAATTCCGACTAGTCAAGCCAATAACACAAAACTGAAAAATATAATAACAAATACAAAATGACTCAAAAATAAATGGTAAAATATCAAATTGATTTTGAGATTAAATAATAATAAAAAAAATCTTAAAAAAAATGTTCCTGACAAATTAATGTACATTGATCTTAAACAGTGAACCAACAATCCTGACCAAAGTTTCAGAAGAATGATTGAACATTTCTATCACATTATGGAAAAATATGATTTCAGTGTTTGCCTTAAAAGCTTGTTTACTTGATTTATTTGTTATTACATATGTATATGTATAAAAATGTGCCGCTTGTAACAAAATACATTTGAAAAAACTCTTTCTTCCAAATAAAAGGAGAATAAATTAAAAGAACTAGAAGAAGCTGTAAAAGGCTTGAGAGTAGGGCAGAGGTTCACATCCCAGTAGGATATCAAATCTTAATATACAGTAAGAACTACGACTAAATGGTTTTAGATAGTCCTAAATCCAATTGAGATACTGTTTGTATGGTATCCATAGAGAATTAAATCAGATTGAACTCAAACTTTTTTTGCAAAGAAAAATGGGTGAATATCTTATCTCTAAAGCTGATGAGAAAAAAAAAAACAAATGTAGCAAAAAGTATAGTATTTATTTAAAGGAGCTAAATGAAAATGTGTCTCACACTTTTCAGCTTTGTATTTGCAAACCTCCAACAACTTCTTATGAAACTCATTTTACTTCAACCTTCTCAAAATCACGTTTTGTGTCAGTTTATCACATAAAATCCCAAAAGAATCCATAATAAAACAAAATCAAAGTATAAATGTTTAAATGGTGAAAGGTTATTGTAACTTTGTCAAAGCACAGCACATTTCTTTGCAAATGTAATGTTTTTATTTTGTGTGGGGAAAAAACTACTTGTTTTTTTAAATGGCTTCTGTGTGTACCCCAGCTTCAAGACAGACTCCAGGAGAGAGGAATGAATGCCACCCTAAAGTGGAGCAAGGATCTCAATAGAGAAACTGTCAAGAAGGAGCTGTAAACTTAGATCTGAATTATAATCCCAGATGCTTCTAGAATTGTTTCTTTTAAATATGGTATAAATAACAATGTTAGAGCACGGCAGCAGTATGCACTGCTGTTTTTGTCTTTGTTATTAAACTCATGAGTTCAAACTTTGCTGCAGTTCATATATTTCACTCAGGCATACCATTGTATCTACCTTACCAATAATATACTGATTTCTGTTTATGCTATAATAAAGTCCTAAACCCTCAAAGCCAATACTGGGCAGGCCTTATCTCTGCATTCAACACCAAGATATTAGCTGTAGATTTTCCTGTAAGCTGTGAGGAGCAGCCTTAAAACAAGGTAGGTGTCAAGTAAATCAAACAGATGCTTGCTTGATTGAATTACATTTTGTGGAATTTTAAGATAACGTTAGAGACATTTTGTAAGTTTTAACTGAAAAATATCTTTACAATAGCCTTTTTATTTGACCCTTTACAACTACAACATTGTTTGATGAGCAGACTGACACCTCAGTCGTTCAGCGATGAGGAATCTTTGAGGTACTTTGGTTCAGATGTTGCCGCGCTTTTTCTGCAGATGTGACGTTAAGCATGTTCATACTAAATAGTTCCAACTTAGCAAACAATCAAAGTGGTATATTCAAGATGGATTTTGTGGATATTTAGTAGCATCCAGTTCAGTTCAGACAATAAGGGGAACTAAGGGGTGAAAGAAGAAGAAAAAAAACCTTGTCAAGTATGAGTTTATGCTATTTTAAATCAATTCTAATCATTTTATTCATACTTCTCAATTGTTCCATGCATCTGGCATATACCCAAGATGCTACATACTCCTATATGGACAATTGTTGTTTTGTAGTTGTTGATGATTTGTTTGTTTAATTTGCTTTTTTAGGAAGAATTTGCTGTTGTTATCATTTGATCTGACTATATATAGTAAAAATATATATTTTTTGTGCTATGTAATTCAAACAAAAATTAAAAAAACGTTGATCATGAAAATGAATATTGCTTTCTTAACCTTTGGTGTGCCATGTTGTGTATGTATATTCATATCTTACCAATTTCTAATTTGCTTTAATACCCTAGTTTTTGAGAAGCTCTGTCTGTGTTTTTTTTTCTTTTTGTTTGTTTTCCTTTTTATTTCTATGTTTTTTTTGTTGTTGTTTTTTTCTTTCTGAGTTGAGTAAAATAATTACTTTCATAACTACAAAGAGAACTTGTTCAGATAATGACATGTTTGTATTTAAAAATGAAAAATCTCAACGAAAAATATATTGGTAAAAAAAAAAATCAAGTCAAACATATTTTAGCTAAAAATGATTACAGTTTAAGATGGATTTTGTGTTTGAAAACCAAAGTTTATCTGGAAGAATTTGGGATATGATCAAATTAGCTTTTCACCAATTTAGAGCAATTGGAATGTTTTCAAACCAATTCACAATGCAAATCCATGAGGTGAATATTTGGCCAAATAAAGTTCTATTAAATGATTTGCTTAATCAGGAACCAGTAACCTCTAGTTAAATTATTTTCTACCCTCTTTGAAATAGCTAGCAGCGAATAAACATCAGGATTCCACTAAATGACTCTTGGTCATACTGAAATGTAATGAGCATCTGAGGAACACATGAACACTAATGTTTTATTAATGTTTAAACCCTTGAAACAAATATGTCCAAGCTTCAACAACTGTTCAAAACATATTACTGTGGCATAGCATAACATGTGATCAGGGGCGTAGGTTGGATTTCAACTTTGGTAGGGACACTGTTGGTCTCCAGTTTCATTGGTCTGACGTCATTGGTCCTATGCAAAAATATGCATGCTCTTTTTTTATGCTTAATGTGAACATCAGGGCACATTTTGTTTAAAGAGAACAGCAGCATTTCTTGCTACATTAATGCAAATCTTATAAGCACTACACACACCAGATGCAGTTTATCAACGTTTAAAGCATCACTGGCTCTGACCAATGTGGAGTTAGGACCTTTTTTCCGCTTTGAAAAGGTTTGCATTTAAACTAACCAGCGACTAAGACAGTAGGTAAATACGTGCCTATTTAACCAAATATAGTCTAAATATGTCTGTTATATGTGGATTTATCCTGTGTTTTCTTTTGAAGATATAGAATTATGCAGAGGCAAACAGAGGTAAACCCCACTCTTATTTTTTTTTTATCTAATATGCTCTCTCTGTATCATGCAAAATAATACATTAAAGGGACGGCAAATAAATGTATTGTATTTACATGTGCACTGGAACTATAAGAGGAACTGACACTGAGCTTTAAAATATTAACTTCACTAGTTGTACATGTGGGCTGTAGTTACTCTGTGTCGCCCATTTCATGTATTTTATGTAGGGCTGAAACAATTAATCATATTAATCGATTATTTAAATAATCATCAACTAATTTAGTAATTGATTAATCATTAACTGGAGCATAGGGCCAATAATATGTGTCTTTAGCTGACAGAGTGACTCAATTAGAGTAGGAATTATACCAAGATTTAAAAAAAATTTGTAAACATTTTGCATTTAAAATGTTATGCCATATGCCATGATCATACTTTTTGGACAGGGGGAACCAGTGTCCATATTTCATCCTGATAGGATGCCCAGAGAAGAAAACGCAGCTTTGGTGAATAACAGCTGGGGGACTTCAGCAGCCCCCCCTTTTTCAGCCAAAGCAGTCACATGGAAACCAGCAGAGGTGTGAAAACCTACCCCCCTCCCTGTGAGTACAGAGAAAACCACAGAGCACACAGGATTCTGCCTCTTTTGCCTCTTCTGCTCTTTCTCCCTCTTCTGATCCAGCCTGCTTCGGCTCCTGCTCTCAAAGCTGGGGCCCACTGTGGCCCACAGTGGAGATGCGGGCCCCAGGGGAACTAGATCCCCAGAACCATCGAGGATAAGTCGAACCCTTCAGAACCAAACTGCTGCAAACAGAACTTTTGCAACACATTTCTCTTGAGTTTCAGAACTTACAGAGCCAAACTGGATGAAGACCATGCCCTGGTGTGAGACTGAGAGGACCCCTGCTGTGAGACTGAGACAATGAGTCCCTGACTGCAGAGCTGCAAATGGATGAAACTCAAGCTTTCCAAATGGACATGGAAAAAGGTTTGCAGGTCTGGCATGATTAGGGACAGAACAAGCAATGTGTCTTTTGATGATGCTAATCATATCACGTGTGTTTACTGCTGGGTAAAGACAACACTAATTGATGCTAAAGAATGGACTGCATGCTATGCTATGCTACAGGAATATATGTTGAGCTGTTGCTAAAGCTTAGACAAGCTTTATTCACTAAGGATTTAAACACTGATGTAACATTAATGTTCATGTGTTCCTCAGATGCTCATTACATTTCCATTACCAAGTATGACCAAGAGTCATTTAGTGGAATCCTGATGTCTATTCGCTGCTAGCTATTTCAAAGAGGGTAAAAGAATCATTTAGCTAAAGGTTATTGGTTCTTGATTAAGCAAATCATTCAATAGAACATTATTTGGCCAAATAATGTTTTATTCACCTCATGGATTTGCATTGTGAATTGGTCTGAAAACATTCTAATTTCTTTAAAATTAGTGAAAAGCTAATTTGATCATATCCCAAATTCTTCCAGATAAACTTTGGTTTCAAACACAGAATCCATCTTAAACTGTAATATGGTTTTCAACCGTTTTCCCCTTCCTCTTTGTACATAGTAGTTAGTTTAGTTTAGTTGAGTTTTACTTTTCTTAGTTGAGAGTGTTAAACTGAAATACGTTTGACGTGGAGCTGAATGATTTTTGTTGATAAAATCTTATATTTTGAACAGAAGTTGTGGTGAATTTATTCCATGTATGTGCAGAAATAACTGTTTGACCATGATTAGTGCTCGAATCACTCTTTCATCTATTGTTCTAACACACAGTTAGTAGGACTGTGTGTCATAAACAGTATATAACAGCTGAAATAATATCTGATTAAATAAGATATTTTACCACCCCTACAGGGGAGGGCAATAAACATCTTAAAGTATCCGAAACATAAATTCCCAGCGGGCTGGGAATAGAATTTAACTCTAGAATCACAACAAAGATAAAAAAGTTTTAGTCTGTCAATATTCTCCATCCAGAACTCCTCAAGAGGAAATGTTTCTGTTTCACCTGGTTTCATTTTCTAAAAAATCTTCTTTAAGGAACCTTTCGCTATCTGATTATTAATCAATTCATTAAAAAACTAATCTACAGATTAATCAATTGCCAAAATAATCATAAGTTGCAGCCCTAATTTGATGCTAACATTCCAAACACATTTCTTCCATTATACTGAAGGGCAGCTGCTTCACCTTGAGGCTCATTATATCTGGGTTTCCTACAATCATATAATGTTTCTATTATACAAGTGTGTTTTAATAGTAACTGATTAAATGTAACACCACCTTTCATCATCATCCTATATTTCTTACTGTCTGACTGTTTAAATAGCTCCTTAAGTCTATTTTCTTTTTTAGTGGCATCATCTACAAACACAATGCTAAGAATGAGCCTAAGTGTAATAAAATATAAAATCACTTTTAATAATGATAAAAGACAATATAACACTATCTTTTCTGTAATGTAATAGTATCCAAAATAAACAGCCAGGTTCAAGCATTATTTACCAGACATTAATGTTTGTACTAATTTACCTACGGACATGTGGAAATCTAGAAAAATAGAATCAGTGTAAATAGAGTTCCTCTGTTTGTCTTTATCCTATTTAAAGAAGTAGAAGTCAATTAAATTAAATTATTTTTATGTGGAAAACAAAAAATAGCAAATCCTTCTCGTGTTGTTATGTTCTACAAAAGAAATTGCAGCTGTTATTTATACCTGCCGTCAAAAACAATAATAGCAAAGAAATATTGGTAAAAGGGAATCAGAAATGTTGATAGCTTACAGTCTTTGCTTGTCCATTTTAACAGCAGTTTCCAGAACTCCTTGTCTGACTGAGAATATTTAGTTTTATAAAATATATAAATTAAAAAAAAACTTTGGTTACTTACATTTCTCAAGTTCCACAAATGCAAACTCTCTCCTGCTTCTTTACAGAACTGCAATCAGAAGCTTTCGCCTGTTTTAGTGTAGATAATATTTTGTCTTTTTAATTGGGACTAGTTTCGTAGCCTAATATTAATTTTGGTAACCACAATTAATATTACTGGTATTTTTTTTTTTTATTCCGCGCTCCAAGCATGCACGTGCACACATACAGA